TAACCTTCACTAATTGAGAAAAAGTTTGTTACTTGTTAGTTTCTTTAAATTGCTCTTGAATCATTTGATACTCTCAATATTGATAGCACTTAGATTAAGCTCTGTCTTGTAATCCCATTGGTTTATAATTGCTTAGAATTGGTTCGATATCTTTTGTACTATAACATTTGAATAGGATCTTAAAAACTCCTATTATCATGATGCTGACAAGAAAGTTCGCAAGGTCTTGTTGAAGGGTCAGGTATGTAAAACACATCTATTTTTTTATACATTACGGCTATCATGTGGCATAACAATTGAAACTAAATATAAATATCTGAAATGTATTATTCAAAAAAATAAGATCTGTATAAAAAAATTGATTTAATTATTTTGCAAAAAACAAAGTTAATTTAATTTAAAATTTGCAAATGTCGACCGATAAAATGCATTTGTTTTGGTTCACTAAATCTATGGACTCAGTCTGAAATGGCTCAGCATAATTAAGGTTACAAGAAAACTAAATAAATTATACATCACATCACATTACTTTGACAATTCTCTATTTTTTTTTGTATTTAGTGATATGTCTTTCTTTCTATATAGAATGAAATGTTGTTACCTAGTGTTGGTAGAAACAGTCGCTATCAGTTGTTATGGAAGTGTATTTAATTCTATAAATTTGTGATGACATCAAGATTGTTTTTAAATACAGTTTTATAACGAGACAAGTATATGTGTAGGTACACGTCGAGCACATGTGCAGCAACGCACTAGCAATGATCAAGAACATGACTGATACCGACATAGCCAATTTCGAGCTAAAAGCCAAATCCTTCTCAAACAACCGTAACCTCAAGGAAGAGGATACTACAATGGCCGTAGATATTGCCGGTGCCGGAGAAGCACACGCAGATGGGTGGCCAAGTTGGTTATCCCCGGGAGATAGGAGGCTTCTTCAAGGGACTAGAGTGAGAGCCGATGCAACTGTGGCAGCTGACGGCAGCGGTAAATTCAAGACTATTGCGGCTGCGGTTGCGGCTGCCCCGGATAATAGTAAGAGTAGGTATGTGATACATATAAAAGCAGGTGTTTATAGAGAGAATGTGGAAGTGTCTAAGAAGAAAAAGAATATAATGTTTATGGGAGATGGTCGGACAAGAACTATTATTACCGGAAATAGAAATGTTGTTGACGGTAGCACCACGTTTCACTCCGCCACCGTTGGTAAGCATCTTTGTTTATTTCCTTTTCTTTTTGAAAAAAGTAATTTTGCATGATATGTGGCCCTTCTTTGTGGTGGAAAATCATTACACTTTTCAAGTACATAAATTATTCACATGTAGATTTTTAGTCTCAGTAGCTAGTACCCACTACAACATATGATTCGCACGTTTAGCTAAGTCACGAGATAAAATTAAATTCGAACTTGAACTGCCTTATTTGAACAAAACGCTTTGTGAGATTTTAGTAATGTGCGAGTCTCGATCCATCATTTTCTTGGCTTTATTCTTATACTTTTCTAAGTCATTCGACGTGGATTGGGTTAATGGCTCATCCACTCGTGAAGGGAGCTTTCGGCTTTTTGTTTTTTTGCTTGTTTTATTCTTGTTGACTTGTCCGTTATTTACATTTGTTACATCATTTCATTTACAGTACACCTTTGGTATCATCACATTTCGAGTTAAATATTTAATCTCTTGTATACTTAATATTTTTTGAAAAAGGTAAAATTATAAATCCGTTCGACTAAAGTGACATTTCTAGCAAAACAAGTCTAGTGTTACTGGTCCTTTTTAGCTAATGATGTTGTTAAACTGATTCATGTTTTTTGTGGGGTCCAGCTGCTGTCGGGGAGAGATTTCTAGCGCGGGACATCACTTTCCAAAACACGGCTGGTCCGTCGAAGCACCAAGCGGTGGCTCTCCGCGTCGGTTCAGACTTCTCCGCATTTTACCAATGCGACATGTTAGCTTACCAAGACACTCTCTACGTCCACTCCAACCGTCAGTTCTTCGTCAAGTGCCTCATCGCCGGAACCGTCGACTTCATCTTCGGAAACGCCGCCGTCGTTCTCCAAGACTGCGACATCCACGCTCGCCGACCAAACTCCGGCCAGAAAAACATGGTCACAGCCCAAGGAAGGACCGATCCTAACCAAAACACTGGGATCGTTATCCAAAAATGTAGGATCGGTGCCACGTCGGATTTGCAGGGCGTGAAAGGTAGTTTTCCGACGTATCTTGGTCGGCCGTGGAAAGAGTACTCACAGACGGTGATCATGCAGTCGGATATATCCGACGTGATCCGACCCGAAGGGTGGTCTGAGTGGACAGGGACTTTTGCGTTGAACACTTTGACTTATAGAGAGTATGCGAATAGAGGAGCAGGGGCTGGAACTTCAAGGAGAGTGAAGTGGAGGGGCTTTAAGGTAATTACGGCGGCTGGTGAAGCTCAGAGATATACTGCTGGTCAGTTTATCGGTGGTGGAGGGTGGTTAGGTTCAACCGGTTTCCCATTCTCGCTAGGTCTTTGAGATGTGTTATTGTTGTGAAGTGTATGTAAACCTACATATTGTTGGTTGAATAATTATTGTTTATTATCAATAAATGGTTTTGTGTTTGGGTATTTTCATATCTTTTCTAGTATTGGAAACTAGTTGAGATTGATCACCAATTTGATTATTATACAAATTGAGAGTTTAAAAAGCCTTTAGCTAATCTGATTTCCCTGAACTCGTCCATTATCTGAACTTTCCACTGTATTGGGTAATGTTTTTAATATCTGGATTATTCATTCATGTTTCTTTCATGTGGTTCAAACGTGTAAACGTTCTAAAATGAAAACACATATATATGTTGGAATGATAAACTAAACATTTATAAATCATTTCTTGATGGCAAATTGCATTTCTTAAGTTCTTAACTTATTTCGAGTTATCTTAAATTTATTCCGGTTATAGTTTGTTTCCTTGCATCACTATTTGCATCCATAGCTTAAAAGGGATTCTTATAAAACTACAACCTAGTCGCAAAATCGCAATGTTGACCAATGACCAATAACTAATAATGATATATATTATAGATGCGGCTTGTGTGTGTTTAAGATGCAAAGAGCCCTCTAATAAAATGAATATTACAGTGAGTATATTCCCTCAGTGCTTGATATAAATGTACATAAATCATTTCAAAATTCTAAATAAATATTATTATTTCAGATATGAAAATACTACAAAATATATATTTCAAAGAAAATCTTGAAATGCCTAGAGCATCAGTTTCAGAAAAAGAAAAAGAAAGTTATTTCGGTCAATAGATTAAAGACCTTAAGGTGTACAGAATAAATGTTGACGAGAGTGGTGAGTTCATCCCTAGTGACTGGTAAGCTTCTTTGTATTTATTGTAATTTGTACTAGTGTTTTTTGGATCCGGGATATCCGTTGCCGTGACTTAACCGACTAATCCTCGGGAACCTGTCCACCATGTCGCCTGGCCACAAGAATGAGTACAATCTCGGTATTGGGAGGAAAGTTTTGAACCGGTAACTTTAAGGAATTTTACGAGCCACCTTAACTACCTGATACACTTGTGGTTATTAGTGTCGTTACTAGTTTATAAATTGTACAATAGTTTTTTTCTCCCGGTATAGTAGTGTTACTACTTACTAGTGTGTACTCATGCATACGTGTATGTCTGATGTTACTGACGTTAGAGCATCTCCAATGTATTACTCCATTTTCTACTCTAAAATGGAGTAACTCCAAAATGCAGTTAAGTTTTGTTCCAATGTATTACTCTATTTTCTACTCCAAAAAAATATTTCTAATATATTATGTTTTATATTATTTATTTTAAAATTAGTAATATCACCTTTCATTTATACTACTTGCAAAATAGTCAATTTTCAATTTATAGCATTTCTATTAAATACAATATTAACAACAATTATATAAATAAAATTACTCAACAAAGTTTTAAAAAACATTTAGTACATTAAAAATTACATTACATAGCTTAAATAAAATAATACACCAATTCTAAATTATTTATTAGAATTAGAATAATTTTCCCACAAATGATCAACTAATGCATTTTGAAGTAAAAAATAAATTTATTTATCTTTTATTTTTCTGAAACGGGAAAGAAACTCTTGGAACCTCACATCCTTCAATTTCAACTTCTCTAGGTAGAACTTCTCTTTCAACTTCAATTGGCTCTTCGAGATCACAATCATCTTATATTATCATGTTATGTAAGAATTTAATAATATGTTATCCAATTATTTTAATAATTTTAATGGATCCGGAAATGATTGGGTTATTAAACAATTATCTTTGTTGTAAGTTTTATTTTATGTTATTTCTTTTGTATGATGCTTATCTTTTATTTTATATATGTATGATCTCTTATGTTTTATATTATATATATTTTGTTGCATAAAAGAGTCCATCATGTGGCTATTTATATAATTAAGAAAGAATAACAGTAAATTTTATAATATATATAGTAAAATAATATTTATATACTTATTTATAATAATATTATTAAAAACAAGGCTATTTACATAATTAAGAAATATTAATAGTATATATAATAAAATAATATTAATATACTTATTCATAATAATATTTTATTAAAAACGAGGCTGTTTATATAATTAAGAAATGTTAACAGTAAATTTTATAATATATATATAGTACAATAATAGTAATATACTTATTTATAGTAATATTTTATATAGTTACGAAATGTTAACAGTAAATTTATCATATATATAGTAAAATAATATTAATATACTTATTTATAATAATATTTTATTAAAAACTAAAAATATATAAATGTGGAGGATTATTTTATAAATAAAAAAGTTCAACTCCATTTTGGAGTAATGAGTTGGTTTACTCCATATTTGGAGTAATCATGTTTGTTACTCTATTTTAGAGTGAGTTTTGGAGTAGGGTTGAAGATGATTTTACTGCAAAAATGAAGTTTGGAGTGGGTTTTGGAGTGGGGTTGGAGATGCTCTTAGAATTCTTTTACAGAACATGCAACCTAGGGGAGTTTTTGTGATAACAAAAAATATATATATATATATATATATATATGTTTACATATAACTCGAACCCACGATATCTAATTTTTCTGTATTGAAAATTCATATTTTCCCTTTAGATATTAATATTATTTTCACGATTAACAGAAACCTGTAATCTATACAAAATATAGAAGTTTCCAGGACTTACATTAACGAAATATCTCCCAAAAACAAAAAGTAATACCTACCATATATAAAAATAACTGGTAAGCGAAGCAACGAATGCTATGGTTTGACTTGTCTTCGGACAAATATCAAAACCGAACACAAGAATACATATTTGGGAACACGACAATAGTACTTCTGTATGGAACTCGAATATTGGAATAATATTCTCTTTACAAAAAATATTATCTTCTATTAACGAGGGGCTTATAACAAATGAATTTACATTTACACTCAAATAATACAAAAAACAAGAAAAGCCATTAAAAACAAATATATTTTCTAATTTTAATTTCATCAATATAAACTCCCCACTCTACACAAGCACATTCACCACTCTCACTCATCAGTGTCAAAAATATGGCACCATCTATCAAAAGAATCTTCTCCAAAGAAAATTTCAAGAAAAACAAGAAACTTGTTTTACTATCCGCCACCGTAGCTCTACTCCTCGTGGCTGCCGTCGCCGGAATAACCGCCGGAGCTTCAAAAGCCAATGATAACAGAAAACGACCTCTATCACCGGCCTCTCACGCTGTGCTAAGATCAGCTTGCAGCTCAACTCTTTACTATGACCTCTGCGTCTCCGCCGTAGCCACCTCCGGCGGCGTCAAACTGACGTCGCAGAAAGACGTCATCGAGGCCTCGCTTAACTTAACGACAACCGCCGTGGAACACAATTACTTCACCGTCAAGAAACTGATCAAGAACCGGAAAGGACTGACTCCACGTGAGAAGACGGCGCTTCATGACTGTTTGGAGACTATTGATGAGACTCTTGATGAGCTTCACGAGACACTGGAAGATCTTCAAATGTATCCTAACAAGAAAACTCTAAGGGAACACGCTGGTGATCTCAAAACCCTAATAAGCTCTGCCATTACCAACCAAGAGACTTGTCTCGATGGATTCTCTCACGATGATGCTGACAAGAAAGTCCGTAAGGTCTTGTTGAAGGGTCAGGTACGTGAAAACATGAGAATTGGAGAACAATTGAAACTAGATATAAAATATGTGAAGTGTATAAGATACGGACGGTGTCAGTATGCAAAAAAATTGATTTAATTTAAAATTTGCAAATGTCGACGGATAAAATGCATTTGTTTTGGTTCACTAAATTTATGGGATCTGAAATAGCTCAACATAACATCACTATTTTGTTATTTCATCGTGGGGCTAGAATTGATGTTTTGGAATGTATGCAATGAAAAAAAGTTAAAGATAGGGTAACAAGAAAACTAAATAAATCCATCACATCACATTACTTTGACAATTGTCTATATTTTTTTCTTTTTTCTTATAATAAAATTGTAACATCTCGAATTGTGATATGTAAAAGACTTAAGAAAATTGATTTGAGTATCTATGTCACCAAAGTGCACTTACCTTCTCGAAAACACATCTAAAGAGAACTTTAGAGTTAAGCATGCTTGCTGGAGTAGTCAAATGATCGGTAACCTGTCGGAAAGTGATTTGCGATACCGTGTGAGTGAGACTAAAATATGGGGAAAGATCATGTGGTAATTGTAGGGTCAGTAAATATGATTCTAGAGTCTTAAAAAATAGATAGACCGGCCGTTGGGATAGGATCCACGAACCGAGAGAGTAGGCATAAATGGTCCATTAGGCATGGGCAGTCGGGGCATTACAAAAATGGTGTTAGCTAATGTTGGTAGAAATAGTTGCTATCAGTTCTTATTGAAGTGTATTTAATTCTATAATTTTTTGATATCATGATTCTTTTTAAATACAATTTTATAACTGGATAAGTTATGTGTAGGTACACGTTGCGCACATGTGCAGCAACGCACTAGCAATGATCAAGAACATGACTGATACCGCCATAGCCAATTTCGAGCTGAAAGCTAAATCATTCTCATACAACCGTAAACTCAAGGAGGAGGATACAACAATGGCCGTAGATATTGCCGGTGCCGGAGAAGTAGAGGCGGAGGGCTGGCCTAGTTGGTTATCCGTGAGAGATAGGAGACTTCTTCAAGGGTCTAGAGTGAGAGCCGATGCTACTGTGGCGGCTAACGGTAGCGGTAAATTCAAGACTATTGCGGCTGCGGTTGCGGCTGCTCCGGATAATAGTAATAGGAGGTATGTGATACATATAAAAGCTGGTGTTTATAGAGAGAATGTAGAAGTGTCTAAGAAGAAAAAGAATATAATGTTTATGGGAGATGGTCGGACAAGAACTATTATTACCGGAAACAGAAACGTTGTCGACGGTAGCACCACATTTCACTCCGCCACCGTTGGTAAGCATCTTTG